CAAAGTGCGGGGGGGGGGTTGGGGGGTGACAGGGACCCCCCCCCATCCCCTCCCAGTAACGCTACTGGCCTGAACTGGAAATGGGTCACTGGGGGGGGATTGGGGGGGCTGGGGGGGCACCGGGACCCCCCACATTTGTGCTTTGACCCGGCCCGGGGGGGGCCGGGAATAAATATTTACAAAGGGGGGGGAGGGGAGGGGAGACCCCCCCGGGGAGGGATCTGGGAATCCAGGGGGAATCCAGGGAGGATTGGGGGGATCCAGGAGGGGGGGGGCACCCGGAGCGCTGGGGGGGTCTCAGTCCTGTGTCCCCCCCCGGGGTCGGTTCTGGGTGGATCCAGATCCCGGTTCTGGGTCAGGAGAAGATCCCGGTGCCGGATCCCTGAGCCGGATCCCAGCCCCATTCCCAGGCTGTTTCCCAGCTCTGGATCCCAGCTCTGGATCCCGGCTCTGGATCCCGGCTCCTGCTGATCCTCCCACGTGGATCCCCCGGGGTTGTCTGTGGAGTCCTGGGTGGTGCCGCCACATCCCAGATCCTGGATGTGCTGCGGGTCCTGGATCTGCCGCAGGTCCTGGATCCCCCCGGGCTGCTCCAGATCATCCCGCGGCGTCCTGAGTTATCCTGGATCACCCTGGACCGTCCCGGATTGCTCTGTGGTGCTCCAGGTCATCCCAGGCTGTCCCAGATCACTTCACGGGGTCCCAGATCGCTCTGGCCCATTCTGGGTCACTTCAGAACGTTCCATAAAATTCCAGGTCACTCCAGAGCATCTCAGCTCATTCCAGACCTCTCCAGGCTCTCCCAGATCGCTCCAGGGCATCCTGGATCGCTCCACGGGCTCCCAGGTCACTCTGGGTTGTTCTGGATCACTCCAGGGTGTCCCAGAACATTCCAGATCACTCGAGGCCGTCCCAGTTCACTCTGGGCTCTCCCATCTGGCTCCAGAGTGTCCCGGGCCATCCCAGCCCATCCCCTCCCGTGCCCCCCCTGCCCTAGAGCTGCCCGTGCCGGGCCTCGTATCGGGCGAGGATGGCCCGGAAGCGCTGGAGCTCCCGGCGCGCCGCCGCCACCTCGAGCCGCAGCGCCGCGTTCTCGCGCTCCAGGAACGCCGCCCGCACCGAGATCTGGTTCTCCTTCAGCCGCCGAGC